GTGACTCATACCTACCCATTTTCGTCCATGCGCACTGGTCGAACTGGACCAACTACATCCAAATTCTCTCTCCTGTGCGGTAGCACAGCCACAATCACAAAAGAAATGACAGATGCAAAAAATGCTGCAATCTCCGGAAGAATAGTATTGGTCGAGTCAAAACCTTCTCCACCGTGAAATCTAAATATTCATAAGATTGACCGTTTTGTCTACCATTACTCTTGGTTTCATTATACTCACTTCACCAATCCAGCATAACGAAGCCATCGCAAGTCCGTGTCATTGCAGTGCTTGATATAGTCCTTCTCAGTTCGATTTTGAACAGCTTCATAGATCTGATAAGCTGCCATTGCCACGGTAGTCAAAAAGCAGTATAGTAGACATGCCCATGAGTATAACCGTATACTGCCTAGATAAAACAACATAATTTTCCAGATTAAAAGCCAATCTTCATCAATACTGGAAAGCCTTGCGCCAAAAGAATGCCAAAACTTGTAGAAGGGCAATATTTAAGTGCTGCAAGTGGTGAGGATGAAGCCTGTTTTACTACTCAAGAAGAACTCGCAGCTAGTTCAACCTGAGAAATCTCCAGTTATATAACCAACTGTAGGGAAAGGGTTTATGTGGAACCGGACGATACACAAAACCTTAAAGGAGTGTCCCGGCAGAATTTCGTTTTCCAGATATTCGCCTTTTCGGAGCCTTCGCGTCATGGGGAATCCATATCTGGACTTCTCGGTGCATGAAATTGGCGAAAATGAGCTTTTTCGAAGCTCCAAATCCATATTCAGTGAAGGAAACGTGCGAGTGGGCGGAGCCCGGAACGATGGAGGCGGGGCGCAAGGCTTCCGGCGTATCTTCATTGGATGCGGACTTGATAAGCTTCGAGAAAAGCTCATTATCGCCACTTTCATGCGCTGAAAAACCCAGATGGATTTCTGATGGCAAGAAGGCTCCGAAAATGTCAAGAACTGAAAAACAAAATTCTGCCAAGACAGTGTCTTCAAATTCCTCTGACCATGTCACCCATGGTTTTACAGTGCGAATAAGCGACAAAATATGGATTGCCCGCAATCTAATTTAAGATTTTCGGGTCTGACAAATCTTTTCCAAACGGATTTTTCCCAAATGAAATCTATAAGAAAATCTGAACATTCAACTCGTTCACGTGATGCTTTTCCCAGCATGTCCTCCTGAGAGATTTACAACAAAACGATTGGGACGCCCCCGCAGCTTCAGTAAAAAA